CGATTTCTAACTATCACTCAAACCCCACGTAGTCTAAAGGAATGGCCGGAATCATCCCAGGATGTTCGGCCAAAAGATCTGTACTGGCTTGTCCTTTTACGGCCTTAAGGGACTGGTACATTAATGCAAACGATGCTAATTTCAGCACCCATTTAACTAAACGGCCTCGGAGGACTGGCCTGTTTAATAAATTGCGAAGAAGGTCGACTTTGCATACTAATTCATCGTCGTCCTGGGCAAGGAAGCAACCTGTCGTATCGCCTATCGCGGCTATGTACAGCTTCAGCTCTCTTCCACTGATTGGCGGCATTAATACCAGAGGAGATGCTAACGCCTACTTAATATGATCCAGGGCTTTTTGTTGGGTTGTTCTCCACTTAAACACGTCTTTATTCCCACGCAACGGCACTAAGAAGGCCCTCAGTCTCCTAGCTGTGTTGACGATGAATCTTCTCAAAAAATTGACCTTCCCCATCAAGTTTTACAGCTCGTTAATGTTGCAGGGGGGCCCAAGGTCCTGGACAGCCTTGGCCTTATTCTTTTTTCAATTTTGACCCCTCTTTGATGGACCAAAAACCAAAGAAATTCCCTGATTGTACTCCGAAAGCACACTTCGCCAGGTTCATCTTGAGGTCATGCAGTCTCATCCGTGCAAAGGTCTTCTGAAGGTCCAGCATGTGGTGATCGAAGGCTTGGGACTTCACGACCGCGTCCTCTATGTATACCTCCATGCAAGCACCGGTCAAGTCGTGAAAAATTGCGTTCATCGCCCTCTGGTAGGTCGCTTTGGTATTTTTAGGCCGAAGGGCATTATTATCAATTTGAAGATTCCAATTTCTCTGGGGCAGCAGAAAGCTGGCCGTAGAATCCACGAGCATGTCGACAACAGGCATTACGTATTCGTCATTCGGTGTCGCTAAATTGAGATTCCGGAATTCAAAGCGTACCCGGATGTTTTTTTTTTCTTCTTGACTACTTGATCAATGTTTGGAAATCCACTTCGGGTACCTGCATGTTCGAATAAAGTTAGCTTTAAGGAGTTTTTCGACCTCCTCTTTCACTTTCGACAATACTTCCGGGTTGAAATGCCTAAGGGGCTGTTTGTGCAGTTGAAATGATGCTTTAGTAGGTAATCGATGCTCAACTATGTTCCTTGATAACCCCGGCATCTCATGGTAATCCCAGGCGAAACAATCTTTGAATTCTCGGATCAAAGCAATCATTCACTCTTTCCTCTCGACATTCAGCAAGGTGCTGACCCGTGTCGCCTGAGGGGTTGCCTCATCCCCCAGGTTAATATCCTCCAATGGGTCCTGCGCTTCGAAAGGTGGAGCAACTCTTTGAATCGGTGAATGAACATCCTCTTCGTCTTGATTGTAATTAGGCAGCTGGGAGGATGTCCCTGTCTGCCCGTCAAGAGGTTGAGCGGCATGATTTCCAGCCCATATAAATGTACAGTCGGACCTGTCTGCTCTCACCTCCTCCAAATCCTGTAAAATTAGAATGTCAGACATGATAAATACATGAGTTATTAGGCCGTGCATCGGCCTCAAATTTGATTTCGAACCCCTTCATGGTTAGATTGCATTTTTTCCTCATTCCAACGTCCTTCAGCCTTATGGACAGCGGGAATATATCGAGGGAAGAATAAACAACCTCTGGGAAATGCACCTCCATAGCTAGATCAGCCTTGGCCTCTACCGTCTCGACTTGGTCTCTGTTCCAAAACATAATTTTTTGGTGCAATGTCGAAAGGACGCACTGGGTAGTGTGGATCCAATCCCTCCCGAGAATGGATGAATAAGTTGGCTTTCCTTCGTTGATGAAATAAGCCATTTGGTTCGTCATTGTTTCGACCATCACTATCTTCACCAACTCATCTGCTGCCGTATACGCATTTTCGGTGAAGTCGGTCGTTCGCATGATTGTCCAAACGAGATCATTTATGTTTTTCTTAATTTTTTCCAAAGTGGATAGAGTCATCAGGTTGACGGAAGCTCCCCCATCTATCAGGACCTTGCTGATCATCCACCCATCAAGATGCACCGTGAGGAATAAGGGTTTCAAGTGGCGCGTATTTTTGTCCGCCAACTTCTGAAAAATTACTGGTTTTGGACCCTCTTTCAGAATGTTGGAATCTTGCTCTACCTAATATAATTGACCAGCTCCTTCCAACACCACATCTCTCTAAAGATAATCGTGTTGAACCTGAGGGGCTTCGAATTTCCGAGGTAGCATCCCTATTATGTTGACCTTGAGATCTTCTTCACAATGCGAAGCTCGTTCGAGGTCCTGGTCGAAGGCAATAATGTCCAAGCTAACCTCCGTCGCCTCATCGCAATCGAGAGCATCGATCATCGGCTCACCTTTCGGAATCTGGTCTTTCCTGAGTGTCACAATAAATTAAGGTTCATTAGGGTGTTCAACCCTTGCAAGAAATCTTTCTTGTCTCCATTCCTTTCGGGCCTGAAGCTGGTGACGAAGGTTCTTCCAAGCAAGCTTCGACCTTCCAGCGATAGCTCCTTCTGAGCTCTAGGTCTGCTGCCATCTAGCCTGGCCTTCGTGGTTAGCAGTCTGCTGCCCCCAACCTGATTCTCTTGGGAAAGGCGAGCGGCCAAGCGTTTTCGCTGCATCCTCCTTTTTTTAGTCCTAGTAGGAGGTCGAATCACCTGCTCCTTCCGGTTCCTTGTCCAGTTCCCGTCGTCTGGAGCCTTCCCAGGATGGTAGGTCTGATGGGGTGTGATTACCACATGATCTACAGACGTTACTTGCCAAACCTTGCCTCCTTTTACAAAGCTTCGATCGTATTCGGTGGGGAAAGTCTGTCCCACACCGAACTTCTTCTTGGAGGTTTGATCGACCTTCCAAGCTTTTTAAACATTGGTTTTTTAGGGCCTGTTCTCCTACCATCTGCTCCAAACCCCGAATTTGACTTTTTGGACCTGGCTAGACATACTCTGACAATGATCATCAGCGTGAGGAACGGCTCCATGTCTATTTTCATGTCAAGTTTTTTGGCCAGCTTGAGACGGCCTTCTTTGATGGCTTTTTGGACCGCATTTCGGAAGGAAATACAGTTCCTGATATGATGGTCATATACTCCATGCCACATACAAAATAATTTTCCATTCAGCTCATCTTCGATCGGCAATTTGTGACCTTCTTTAAGTCGGAGCTGGTTATCTTTCAGCAAGTAGTCAAAAATCTGCTCCGTCTTTGCGATATCAAATGAGTAAGATACCTTCAGATTCACCTCATTCCGTAGAGGCGGCTTAAGAGCCGGGCATGTATATGCCTTCCCCCGCAAAATTTCAACCAAGTAGGTCTCCTCTTGCTCCTCGTCGACCTCGGCAACCCTTTCTTGGGCAAACATGCAATGATTACCACTCTGAAACTTTTGATTTCGGGCCATTTGAGCTTCTTTGAAGGGCTGCTCGGCCTTCACAGCTTTGGACATCGGCTGCTGAAAGTCGTGACATTTCTGAAGAGCCAGGCTATCACACAGCCGGTGCGTCATGTTATTTATTGCCACATTCACCACCTACTCCTCTGGTACACGAACTTGGCATCTAGTTTCTATGCTTCTTAATTGTTCCAAGAACTGCTCGATCGAATCCTTGCTTATCCGATCGCCGTATATTCTATGAATCACATCTTTGATTACCTGTGGATTTATGATGGGATGTGGCAGCAACACTATTTCTGCCTGCCCCCCATGCTATTTGGAAGTTGTTTGAACGGACGGAGGATTGTGTAACGCCAGGTGCGAAAAGGCTTGTTGAGTAGGTCCCCGTTGTGAGAAACAAACTCGAGGGCCTTCCGTAGGTTCTCTAAAGATTGGAACTTGTTGCAATGGTTTATTTTCGTGGGCTGGTTGGGCAGAATATTTGAAGGTTTGTTCCAGCCCGGAACCAGCAGGAAATCGACCTTCCCCAACAGCTTTCTGCCCCTCAGTGTATCGGGATGGTGTTGGGACTGGTCCCCTGGTTCCCAAGTCATTCCAGAAGGCTTTGGGACCAAGGAAGGTGCTGGAATCAATGTCGGCCCTGCCCCCCATGCATTAGAAGTCTTTTATCCGGCCATTGGATTTCTTCGAAGGCCTGGAGTGGTGACTACGGTTCTGAAAGTATTTCTAGCAAATAGGGGATTATTTTGCCCATGTGGTATTGATGAAACTGACCCGAAGGTCATCCCAAATCCGTCGGTTGGAGGCGGCCCAAAAGAGGCCTGCCTGGTTGACGCTTGAGATCCTTCGACCTTCTGGATGGTGATCGGTGGTCCTCCAGATTCGGTATCTCTACCGAAAAAAGTAACATGGTCATACTTAAGTGCCTGGGAGGTCGGATCTGTTGCGAAGCTGGTTGTAAAGCCTGCGGGAGGCCAAATCTCTGGTTGGTTGGAATCAACCTTCCGGGCCTTTCTTTTTCGAGTTTCTTCCTCCAGAAGCAGCGCAAACTCGTTCCAAATGGTGGGTTTCAAAACGTAGCTAATGTATTTCGATAGTTCTTGGGCGGATCCGTGAAAGGACAACCGAATTTCCCCACGGATCTGCTCCTAAAGGACGCTGGCTGGAAAACTAATGTTCTGGTCCGGCCATCCAGCAACAACGGAAGTCTCGTCGTGCGGAGCAGCTTTCTAAGCTGGGTGCGATGACAAATCGTTGACGATTTGTATTTTGACATCTCCATAATCAATGGCAGTATCAATTTTCTCTCGAAGTTGCATGTAAAAGTCGCGAGACGTCGGAGTCCCACCAGGCATGCCAATCTGTTGTCGTAAAAAAATCTCCACCGACGGTTTAATCGGAAAAGCCTGTCGGAATTGATTTAATCGTAGGGTTCCCCGGCCTCCTCAAGAAAGGATCCAGACTATCTCGCCATAACCGAAAAATTGATGAAAAAAAAAAGATAAAATAAACAAGAACGAAGCTGAAAATTAAATTAGAAATAATCGAAGAAAACTATAAAAATCTGGAAAAATTACAAGAAAAATAATGCAGAGAAAAATTATGAAAAAAGAAGAAGATTCATGATGAATGGCGTCTCCTTTTTTGCTCTTTTGGATCTTCTTTAAATAGTTAATTTTTTGAATTTATTTGAATAAGATCTTATCCAACCTTTTTCTCCAACAACTCCAACAATTTTCTAACTACTTCTTTGACCTTCTTGCATCCGTTGGACTGCTTCCAAGTCGAGCTGGACTTCCTTCAACGATGGGCTAGACGGGTCAGAAGGTCCGTCTACTATTTTGGGCCGTATGTTGGGCCGCGAATGTCCTTGGACTTGGGCTGCACTTGCACTGGGCCGGCCCAATTAATTTTGGATGTATACAACAAGATTTAGAGTTTACGCAAAATATTTGAATAACATGGACTATAATTTAGTTATCATCTAACTTATATGTGCACACATCTATGTATCCATGTTCTAAGAAAGACAACAAATATAAACAGTAGCTAAGAACTTACATAGGTTCCATATTATACATAAAGGATACGGCGACATCAAAATAAATAGCATTTACAAAATCAGCTCCACTGGTGCTTGTGGAACTATCCTCATACGAATCATCCTGAGATAATCAACCATATCATTAATTCCAAAAAGTAAACCTTTCAAACAACATACAAGAACAAAATCCTAAACCGCTGCACCTAAGCTAATCCTCCAAACCCCAACTTTTACACAAGAGAATTAGGAAGTTGTTGTACCTGAGCCAGAGTAGCCAGGGCTGCTCTGTATCCAAATTTGGTGATGAACCAGCTAATGACGAGCGGGTGCGTCTGGATCTCGGGAAAGTTGTGTAAGATTCCCCAGGTGAGTCGCTCCACGGGAGATCGGAGATCTGACAACTCCGCCGGCTGTGGAGGATCTTGATTAGGGTGGCGGATTGCCAAATATTGTTTGATATTTAATGGAGAGAAGTGGGGACTTGGGCACTGCTACACTTTAAGTTTTTGTTTTTAAGAACTGAGGCACAATTTTCGACTCCTCCTTGACTTTTTTATTTTTTTTAAATAGATATTCAAATTTGCATGTTATTCTTATATTTTTATTTTAAAAATATTTTTATGGTAAAGGCACTATTGTCCGTGCCTTACTTTTATTTTTTTTAAATAATTTTATAATTAAGGCGTGATTGTTTCTGACTTTCTTTTTTAATTTTAAAAAAATAATTGTATGATAGAGGCGCGGTCTACGGCACCTAATTAAGGCGCAATCATTCGCGCTTTCTTTTTATTTTAAACAAATAATGTATAGTAGAAGCACGGATTTTCGCACCTCCTTTTTTATTTTTAAAAAATAATTATACAACTTAGGCGCAGTTGTTTGGGCCTCTATTTTTTATTTTAAAAAAATAATTAACATTGTCGTACATTCGTAGAAAGAAGTAAGATAAAAACAAAAATAAGAGTACTAGCCATCGAGTTTCGGGGGCAAAATATAAATTTATTTCTGCTAATTCAATATTTTTTTTCCTTTGGTGCAGCAGTGTAAAAAAGAAAAAAAAATAAAAGATAAAAAATGTCGAACAAAAATAATATATGTTTGAAATAGAAAAAAATTTAATATAATTATATAAATTTTATTATTTTTTACTATAAAATTAAATACTAAAAAAAATCAATAAATTACATAAATTTTATTATTTTTTATACATATAAAAATAAAGTTAAAATTTTGAGGGGGCAAATTACTTAAAAATATACAAATTTATTATTTTTTAAATTAAAAAATATATATTTCGGGGCTAACAGGGTGCCCCTAAGCCCCACCTAGTTTCGTCCATGAGCGCCAAGTGTGGTACCTGCATTGTTTATTTATTTATTTATTTTACCTAATAGGCACCGATTGTAGTACCTACTACTATTATCATTATTATTATTATTATTATTATTATTATTATTATAGGTATCAACTTGGCCCCTTCAGATTTTATTAAAAAAATTAAGAATTAGGTGCATAAAAAATGCCTACTTAAAACAATAATTATTTATCGCCAATGTTTTTATTTTCATATTTTGGTGCGTTTTTTTTGTACTACATTTGACGGCGATACTTCACACCTCTTTATCCATGCCAAATGTCATTTTTTCAGTTAGTGAAAGTCATAATAATTTAATTTTTACTTGTATAATTTTGTACTACTTACTCAGCAATTTGGTGATGTTGAATAAAAAAATTCACTCTATGCATCATGATGAGACTAATGTCAGACTCAGAATACTTAATTAATCAATTAATACTACTCCATCCGCCCAAACTAGAAGTATCAATTTTATTATTTTCGTATGTCCTATTAAAAAAAACTATTTATTTTATATTATAGTAAAGTAGTTATAAATTAATACTAAAATACTTTAATTTTTTACATTAATTACAAATGTATCTTTACACGTACAGTTAATATATATACAAAGTACAAAAAAAATGTCAAACTATCTTACACACTTTAACTAACCAATAAAATTTAAATATACTACAAAAATCTAAAAGGGTACTTTGGACCGGGACAGAAGAAATATTATTCTATTAATATTAACTAATATATTGTAAAACGAGTTCTGAAACCTAAACTATATTCCTCTCAACACAATTGTTAAAAGAAAAGAAATTTCCTTATTTTATGAATTCTGAATCTTTTATTTTCATTACATGAACTTTAACATCAAATTAGGTGGGTCAACTAGATTAAAATCAAATCTCTTGGTTTGATGTGACCGTAATATTCTGATACGAGTCGATCGAGGTGTTACAATATAATGTATTTTTAGTAATATTTTTCAAAAATTGTGTATGATGAAAAAACTTAATGAACTCAATCTTTGAATCTTTTATTTTGAGTCGTTTAGAATTAGATTCATAAAAAAATATATAAAAAATAAAAAATCATAGTTTTAAGAGATCTTTTTTTTTAGATCTATGAGGTTTAGTTTCAAATTGTGAAAGATCTTGAATATAATATGTGATAGAACAATTTGAAATTTAGATCCTTAAAAGTTTTTGTTTATAATCATAAATATCATATTTGTAGATATTGTTAAAGACTTTTAAATTTTAGATCTATGAGTTTGTAAACAGGATCTAAAATTTTACAACTATTTTTAAAACTCTAAAACTACTTTTAATTTTTATTGGTGAAATAGAAATTGTATATGGTTTTAAAATCATAGGTAAGTGCTCTCGAAATAAATTCTTTTATGTTATATTTGTTAGTTACCCTAAAGATCCCAAAAATGTTTTGTAAAATCATATATTAAAGGCCGTGATATCCAAAACACGATTGGTGATCATATATACAAGATGATATACTTCTATCAAGGTGTGATACTATATGTAGCTAACTATTTTCTATCTTGGCTACATAAAAGTTTGTATTCTTATTTTTAGGAATTCAATAATTCACAGTGAAAGTGTTTGGAGTTGGTACAAACTTTCTTAACCCCTAAATCTTGTTATTGGTGAATTTTTACGGTGTGATTTGTGGTCTTATTTGTTTAGTTCTCTATATTGTTATATATTGTGTCTTATAACTATCTATCAAGATTGTTTTGGCTTTGAGCATTCTTGACCCTACCTTATGAGTATAGTTAAAACCTATGGTGTCAAAGGATCTTTCATTCAATTTTGTAGGTTCTTGTTTTTTCTTGTGTGATGTTATATATATATATATATATATAGATATTGCAAGATTTGTTTGTTTCGTTCAAGTGTGTTGTTTATTGTGCGTTTAAGTTCAAAATGTGGCTAGTATAATTGCTTATTTTAATATTCTACTATTTTTTTTAATGGTAGTAATAATGTTGTTTGAAAATAGAAAATAAGAAATGTTTTAATAACTCGAAAATTAATAAAATCAGTTAAAGGATAATATCCAACTTACCATCCTCTTGGAAAGAGAGTTGAAATAGATGAGTTGGAATAGATGAGTTGGTTTTATTTTGCATTATTTTAAACTTAGTTGATCATATAATAAGAAAAGTGAAAGATAGAAATCAACTAAAATTTTATAGGATAGAGTAATTGATTTGTATACTTAAACTTCTACATCTATTCCTAACCCTTTGGCAAAATAAAATTAGTTTCAAACTTGATCTTTCAAAGACGATTGATGAAAATAATAATACTTTTACAAAACTTAAACAAAATATTAAGACAACATGTGATAATATAAATGACGGCTAGGATTACATGCTGAATAATAAAATTCAGTTTTATAGTGATTGAATTAATGACTTGTATTAACTTAGAGATATAATAGTAATTTTTTTAGTTCTTCTAATTTATATAACTACCTCAATCCTCCATTCTTCTTCCTCCTTCAATGCAACATTTATTAGAAAAAAATTCAAAATCTTCCAACATGCAGCTTCCTCCTTCGATGTGGCATTCATTAGGAAAAGGATTCAGAATCTTACAACACAATTAAAAAAACTTAGAAGTTTAAATATAGGAATCTTCATCTTACTATTTATGAGAAAATATTTTATAATAAAAATCCCAGCATATTGTTTGACATATTTTAGCATTGAATATATGCAAACTTAATAGATTGACATGCAATGAAATTTACAAACCAGAGTAAATACCTTATAACCTTATGCAATTTATTGGATTGAATTTACTGGATTCAATTTGTTGGATTGAATTATGGTACTTTTAGTCGGATTTGGATAATAATTTATATAATTGTGTTCATCTAATTTTTTTCATAGCTTTTCAAGATTTAGATATTAACGTAACTATTAGAATCTCGTCTGGTGTGTTAAGAATATGGTAAAACTATATTAGCAATCATATTTAAATTAAAACATTGAAATTAATTTTAAAAGAAATAAATTAGCATCCCGTTCAGTTGACTTCAGCATTAACCTATGCAAAGGGAATCATTTTATATTATGTTATACAACACCATATTTGATGAGTTTAAAGAACTCAACATCTTCCTATTTATGGGAAAGCATTTTATAATAAAACATTCAGCATATTGTTTGATATATTTCAATATTGAATGTATGCAGACTCCACAGATTTACAAAATCAACAACTTCTTAAACTCAAAAAGACATCTACCACTCTTCAATTTTAAGTAATTCGATTTTCATCTACTATGATGAACGATCCAAAATTTATCAGTATGGTGTCCATCAGCATCGGATCCACATCCTATAAATAATTATAGTCTTTTTATCTTATTACATGTTATTCTCATTTCTTACCATGGTATAAAATTTACTATAAAATACAGTAGATATAATTATGTTGTATAATGGAGTAAATATTTTGAAAAGTAATGAGATTGATCTTCAAATATATAAGGCTAAGAAACATATATTGAATAAAGTGATACATGTTAGGAAACAGATCTTCATATATATCAAATTAAAAGAGGTCAGGCTTCAATATAACAAAGGACGCGGGTCAGCAGCCGGTGCATGGGTTATGCGGGTCGGGTTGGACAAGTAAGTAGGTCAGCACGGAAATGGGCCAAACCAAGGTATTATGGCCATTTATTTTGAGCTTTGTGTATATTTAGTGTTGGATTCAAATTGGTCTCAATAATAAAAAGCTTAGACCAAAATTTATAACAACATCGTCGTTCAAGAAACATTTAAGGAATCATCGGAGTTGTCATCCAATTAGAGTTGTTCACCGTGAACTTGCCGGTCCGAAGCGCCGGTATTGCCGTTGCTAGAGGAGGACTCCGCCCATCTTTCTGTCGGAGTTGTTTGTTGGTTGTTTCCGCCGGAAGTTGCAACCTACCTGTCGGTCGTCGCTGTTATCGGCAGCGGCGGTGTTCCGCCAGTGTGAACATGAATTAGGGAGTGAACTTTGGATTGCTTATGGGTGGAAAAAAAATACTGAAATACCGTACTTATCTAATCGGATGAATATCAAAATATTTTCTATACCAAAATTTTGATACGGCACTACTAGAAAAAATGTTGATAATTGTGGAAATTTATTGCAAATTTTAATCTGTGACAATTAAAAATGTAATTTCATGACAAATTTATGTCACAACTTTTTGCTTTGACTATTCCGTAAGTAATATTTGTAGAAAAAAATACAAACAATTTTCCGTGACTATTTAAAGTAACGGCTTATGTAACGAAAATGTCCAAGATATTTCTATTCCGTGTCTTTTGACTATTTCGTCACAAAAATTGTCACGAAATTTTTTCTTGACTATTTTAAGTTGCGGAAAAAATAACCAAAATATATTCAACATTTTAGATTGTTACAGATATTGGCATAGTATAATTTTCGTAACTTTTTAAAATCAAATATTACAACACAAGAAATGAAAACAACTACAAATTTTTCTTATTGTTGTTCGTAGCTATTCAAAGTAATAACAAAATAATAAAATTATTTTCAATATCTTTATTCAATATCGTTCGTAACAATTCAATTTTTTGTTAAAAATTCATGAGGATATATTAAATAAATATGTATATATTTTTTAAAGATAAATTTATAATCAATAATATTTATATAGTTAAAATATAATAACAAACAAAAAGGAACATTTTAGAGTAGATAGCTAAGTTGGCATGACAGGTTGTGTAAGTCTTTAATAACTATAAGATCACTAATTCGAAACCCTTCGACTTGCAGATTAAATTAAAAAATAACTATAAGGTCATTGGTTGAAAAATAGTGTGGTACGAAGTAATTCCGAAAAAAATAATCATGTGTGGTTACATTGAACAAAAATTATAATATAATAATTATTTTTTTTCAAAAATATAAAATCACGGAATTGTTACAACTTTCGATAATATAAAGTCATAGAGGTGTAATGGTATTATTTTGTAACTTATTGTCACAAAAATGTCACCATTATAAAATATTCACGAAATTTTGTTGCAGTTTTTATTGCTATATAAAGTCACGGACATGTCATGGTATTATTCTATAACTTATTGTCACGGAATGCACCACTTAAAAAAAGTCACCAGCAAAATTCCACGGAAATGGTTCCGTATATTTTCCCGTGACTTTTTAGTAAAAAGTCACCAATTTGTATTAAAACTGTGACTTTTTTTACCGCAACTATAACCTAATTTTCTGACAGTGAATAGTATGTAAATTGAAATTTTTGTAATACCAACATACCAAAAAAAATTTGTATATGTCGAAAATTTTGGTATACTGAATTATCGGTACAGCATAGTAAGTATATCTATTATACCAAAACTTTGGTATGATATCAGTATGAAAACTATTATGTCGAATATTTCGGCACAGTATATATAGTATGCGGTATGATTTTTTGTATACCATACTGATTCACTCCTAGCATTGCTAAATTCAATTATCAGAATTAGCAAATCTTCTTTCATCTGTGTTATGCTTGTTTGTTTTGGTTAATTATATTTTTAAACCTTGTTTAGCTAGGTTGTTAATTTTCTAATTTTCAGAAATCATCTTTACCTTTTGGCACTTTCTTGCTGGTGCTTTTGTTGTTTGACAAGTTATAAAATCACAACACTATGGCTAAGATTAAATCAGCATGATGATAATTCTATTAATTAGCACCATAAGTGAACCGTTACAATTAAGGTGAAGCGAAATCATGTGTTAATTTATGAATCATAAACTAATATATTGATGTTATTGAACAGGCTGCTAGGCACCTCAATATTTCATTGAATTTAAAACTGTTCTAAATAGCTTACAAGAATTAGAAATTATCAACTAACAAAATATGAATTTAAAAGAATGAGAAGTAACAATATCCAAAGTCTAAAAATAATAATAATAATAATAAAAACTATCGAATATATGAGACATGTGATGTACTCAAATATCATAAACTCGATAATGTACTTAATAGAAAGCACATATATTTGGTCTAGTAGTAAGTTGTTTAATTTGATAGATGTCTAACCCCAAAGTTTTGAGGACGTATTTATTATCGTTTTTTTTATTTATCTATTTTATTGTTTCTTTAAAAGCCAAATAAAAGTGTTACGTACGAAATTTTAATTAGGGTAAAAGGCCCAAAATAGGGAGATATGTGGGCCCGTTGTTAGGCCCACCAGTTGGTTACAGGGTTCTCAAGGGAGTCGGTTGGTCTGCAGTCCGTCTAAGGAGCCAGGGGTTATTACTGAGCGGTTGAGTAGTTGTTCGGGACCAGCCGTCCATTTAAGGAGGTAAAGTGGCCAGAGGCGGTCGGTCGAGCCAGTTAGGTTTTGTAACTGGTAGGAGCGGTTGGTGAGACGGTTAGGACGCGTGTCAATAGAGGAGGAATTGGTGGGCAGTTGATAGCAGTTGCTGTAACCGACTAGACGACGGTTAAAAACGTTTCTTTAGGGAATATTTAAGGATTTGGGTCTGTTTTGAAAAAGGATCTTCAATCTTCAATCGACATCAAATTCAGTGGAATTTCCTTTGGGGATCACCATTTTACTTTTACAGTCTGTAGTATTTATTTTTTTCTATTTTATTTATATATCGTACGGTGTCTAGAGATTCTTAAATCTCAGGCATTTTATTTTATCAAATTCGAAGATAATTTCTATTTTCGGGTTTTACTTTTTATTGTTGAAAATCGGTATCAACAAATTGGTGACCACAGTGGGAGAGAAAGCAAGATAGCTAATCCTACTTCCAATAACGACTTCATACGTTTACATTCTGGGCGAATTATCAGTAGAAATACAATGGCAAGCACTCAATCTCAGAACAACCCCACCGGCGTCGGAGTTTCTGCAACAACATCAAATCCAACATCAGTTGTTCCTACTACATGAGGGACATCTCAAGTGCAACCTGAATGGTTGACTTATGTTCAGCAATTGAACAATCAACAGATGACTACCATAGAAACAATGTTGCACGATCAACATAATTTAATGCAGAACATGTTGGATCAGGCGTTGTCCAAAGTCACACTACATTCAAACACACCTCCAGCCTTGTCACCTTCTCGCTTTCAGGCAACTTTTCCAGGATCAACATTTGCAGGGCTATCATACGTTGATAGTACACTACCAAGCGCCACAACTTTCAACCGAACAGATAGGGGAAAGACTCATCTAACTTTCCCAAATAATGTTCCTTTGGGACCAAGAGTTGATAATACTCAGCCGAATATCGTAAGGGAAGACAGACAAGGGGGACATATACATGATCCCATTCATATCCCTGATCATCAACAACCTCATTTGGATCATGAAGAAATTGCGCATGTTTTAAGGGTTCATTTTGGTTTGAATCCTCATGTGGCCAACCGCTCGGCCTATCAAAGACCTTTTCCAGAAAGGATCATTAACGATTATCTGCTCCCAAGGAATTATCGACCATCCGACTTTCATGCTTTCTTAGGAAAAGATGGATCCTCCACCATAGAGCATGTGGGTCGGTTCACAGCGCAGTTAGGAGAAGTCGGTAATAACCCTTTTTATAAATTACAACTATTTGGTTTATCTCTTACCCGGACAGCTTTTTCATGGTTTGTCAACTTACCACCTGGACAAATACAAACCTGTGAAGGTTTAGAGATGGTATTTCATGCTAGATTTTTCAACCCTTTACCAACCGTCTCTCTTATCGATTTGTTGGAAATAAAACAATGTCCAGAAAAGTCAGCCTTTCAGTTTATCGAAAGGGTACGATTGATGAAAGGACGATGTCCTACAATAATCAATGAAAAATAGATGACCAATTTAGTGGTTCACAATATGCATGTTCGCTTGAGAGAGGCACTCACTACACATGACGTAGAAGATTTGGCAAGTTTGGCATCCAATGTTGGACGTTTAGAATCTCTCTTCAGAGAAAAAGATCAAAATTTTAAGCGTAATAAAGTTCAGTATATGGCTAGTATGGAAACGGAAACATATACCCTTGATTTTGATCAAACAGAAGAAATGGCAGCCAAAATCATCTTTGGAAAGCCTTATGTGTGCTCCAAATTAAAGTCATTACTAGGAACTGAAGGAAGAGACCAACCCACATTCGACAGTTCAAAGGCTGACGAAATCTTTGATATTTTGTTGACAGATGGACAGATCCGAATTCCAAAAGGGCAAAGATTGGCTACTTAAGAAGAAATCAAAGGAATACCATATTGTAAGTGGCATAATTCCTTCACACACAATACAAGCCAATGCACACACTTCCGAAAGGAGATTCAAAAGGCCATCAAGGCAGGACGGCTCAAATATATTACTCTGGGTGTAGAACAACAACCTTTTCCAAAAGTAACCACAACAATGGTTGAAATACGAGCAAATCCCAGGTTGAGAAGAACAGATCAATCAAACAATTACCAACAAAAAGAAAGATTCAAGATTTATGAAAAGCCAGTGGCAGAAAAATGGGATAACCAAGACGGTTCTTTTGAGGTGGAGCTAAAGGAAAAAAGTACTGGTCCGAGACTTTCCGACTAGCAGGACCGGCCTAGTCGGAGGCAATTGGGTTCGGAATAAAAAACCTCTACAGGAAAGGAATCCCTTCAACAAAACAGCCGAATGACTTCCAAGTCGCTTCTGATAATCCGACAAGAGGTCGGTCTATACAGAAGAGGGGTAAAGAAGCATCATACGAAAAAGTTGAAGGTTTCAAATTTCAGTATGGTAAATAGATCAACATCAATCCATCCCTTGAACAATTTCATTTATAATCACTGACAGCCCAACCCAGAAGTGAAGCAAGAGAAGAATTTTGTTCAACAGAAGGAGATTCAAGATCTGTCAAATCTCGGCTAGGTCCACGAGTCCCATGCCGAATGACAGAAGTTTATTGGATTGAAGAAGAGCCTTTACGGGCAAGTCTGGTGGATGATTCTACTGAGGAACCAGAATGGGCGAAGATTTCAGATCCTGATTTTCAGTCAGAAATTCCTCCACTAGTTTTCTCTCCCATTCCAAAAGGTACAGCATCCCATTTAAAACCTCTGTATGTTGATGCGCACATTTTCGGGAAACCAATCACAAAGATTTTTATAGACAATGGAGCCGTCTTCAATGTTATATCATTAAAGACCCTCAAGAAGTTGAGGAAAGGAATTCATGATTTATCTCCAGTGGATTTCGAGATGACTAGTTTTACAAGGCAACCGACCAAATCAGAGGTATGATGGTAGCCCCAATTGAAGTTGGACCGAAAAAAATTTCTTCCGTGTTTTTTGTACTGGATGGAGACACTGCATATTCGGTCCTACTTGGGCGAGACTGGATTCACGCATCTCAATGTGTACCATCAGCACTACATCAGCAATTAATGTTCTGGGAGGGCAATCAGGTCTTTAAAATGAAAGCAAATGACAACCCTTTCGGCGCATCGGAGAAGGTTGAAGAATCATTATTTTATTCCAGTCACCTGCCCCCAATGTCTCAGGCTGTTATGGCTAGTGAGTACCCAAGGAAGGGTCATAGATTCACCGGCCAAAATTCAATGTTCTTCTAAAAAAGAACAACCTTATTATATGGCTTATAAGGACACCAAACCTATCTTATAATATATATTTTATGGATAGTACAAATTTGGAAGATTTTAGTTTACTTATTAATCAGTTTTACTCAAATCAACTTTTGGAAAAGGCAGAAAAAATTAAAAAGATGCATGATGTTCATTACCAGGAGGATGAGCAATTTCGGTGGCCAGATTTGTTAGAAAAGACAGAACCAACCTTTTCAGCTCAAAACCCTTTATTGGAATTCAATTTAAGAACCGACTTGGTTCCGAAAATAAGAAGGATAAGTGGTTATTTGTCTGAGGAGCAACAAGTAAAGATACTGGAGGTTATCAAAAACAATATTAATTGTTTAGCTTGGGATTATTCAGAAATGTCTGGCCTGGAAAAAAGGCTGATAGAACATCGGTTGCCTATCAGAGAAGGTTTTAAACCTTACAAACAGCCCCCAAGGCGTATGAGTCCTGATTTGATGCCTCAAATCAAAGAGGAAATCTAAAAGCTTCTTAAAGTGGGTTTTATTTGGCCTTGCCGATATGTAGAATGGTTGGCAAATATTGTACCAGTGGTTAAAAAGAATGGTAAGATCAGGATATGTATTGATTTCTGGGATCTTAATATTGCCACTCCTAAAGACGAATATGTGATGCCTATGACCGATATGCTGATTGATTCAACAGCAGGACATAAAATCCTCACTCTGATGGATGGTTATGCAGGATATAATCAAATCTTTTTGGCAGAAGAAGATATTCATAAGACAGCGTTCAGGTGTCCAGGAGCTTTAGGTATTTACGAATGGACGGTTATGCCATTCGGTTTAAAGAATGCTAAGGCAACTTATGAAAGGGCCATGAATTCAATCTTTCACAATCTTATTGGCAAATCTATGGAAATATATATTGATGATGTTATCATCAAATCTTCCAGTTTCGAGGAACACTTGAAAGACCTGAAAGATGCCTTCAAACGAATGAAGAGGTACAAGTTGAAAATGAATCCAACTAAATATGCTTTTGGTATATCAGCTGGAAGTTTTTTAGGATTTTTGGTACATGAAAGGGGAATTGAATCGGTGCCAATAAAGCCAAGGCAATTCTGTCCATCTGATCACCCAAAACGGTCAAAGAAGTACAAAGTCTTTTGGGTAAGGTAAATTATCTTAGGAGGTTCATTTCTAATGCTACAGGAAAGGTCAGGCCAATTACTAAATTATTAAATGGCGGAGCGAACGCTTTCGATTGGGGGCCAGATCAGCAGACAGCTTTAGAAGCTATAAAACAAGCCTTGATTCAACCACCTGTGTTAATGCCTCCCAAGGAAGGTCGGCCCCTCAAACTTTATTTGGCAAATACACATGAAGTGGTCAGCTACTTACTAGCACAAGATGGTGATGATGGAAAGGAAAAGGCAATTTATTATTTGAGTAAGACCCTCACAGGAGCATAAATGAATTACATAATGCCAGAAAAAATGTGTTACTTATTGGTGTTTGCATGCACCAAACTTGAGCATTATATGCTGCCTAGGAGAATAAAGGTTATCTCAAAGGTAGATCTTATCCAATTAATTTTGTAAAGACCTACCATACAGGGCAGACTTATGAAATGGGCCATTAAAATTGGCTCCTTTTGATTTGTAACATTCTCCATTGAAGGCAGTTAAAGGCCAGGCCATAGCAGATTTTTTGGCAGAATTTTTTGGCGGATAATCAAGAGCAGATCGGATACATATCTTATGTGAGTACCCGGAATTGGTTAATGTTAATTTATGGTTCTACTTCTGGAAATAGGTCAGGTGCAGGGGTCTTATTGAAAGGACCAAATGGCCAAAAGATCAAATTACAGCTGCAATTAGAAGCCATGACCCATAATTTGGCAGAATATGAGGCTGTAATCTTGGGGTTAGAAGCCTTAATAGCCAGGAGTGTTCAGTCGGTGATTATAAGAGGAGATTATCAATTGGTAATCAATCAGGTAACCAAGCAATATGTTTGCAATTATCCTCATCTACGCAGATACAGAGATATTGTATGTCGGTTGTTATCAAGAATCTCAGAGGTGATAATTGAGTTCATCCCTAGGAAAGAAAACCAACTTGCAGACGAGTTAGCTCAAAAAGCTTGTAAAGGAATCCCGAAAGATATCTGTGCGGAGATCGAATCGGGAATAGAAGATGGGACCGACTGGAGAACAGAAATTGTCATGTATCTACAAAATCCAAGAGCGAATGTGCCGATAGGGATATGGTTAAAGGCTCTACGATTCCAGTTGATAGAAGGACTCCTATACAAAAGGACGTTCAACGGATTACTTTTAAGATGTTTAGGATCTAAACAGGCTTTGGAAGTCATGACAGAAGTACACAGTGGAATCTGCGGAGCTCATCGAGCAGGCTTGAATATGAGATGGGCTATTCATCATTTGGGTTTCTTTTGGCCAAAGATTTTCGAAGATTGTATACAATTTGCCAAAGGTTGCCAAGAATGTCAAAAACATGGACAACTGAATCACTTGCCAGTCACTGAGTTGCAAGCTATGGTAAAACCATGGCCTTT